GATCGGCAGCCCCGCTCCAGCACCCTCGGCCGAAGCGCCCGCGGCAGCAGCAGCAGCAGCAGCAGCATTAGTAGCAGCAGCAGCAGAGTTGTCTGGAGGCCGCAGCAAAGAACCCACTGAACCCCCGTCAGCAGCAACACAAATGTGAATATCCAAATCCCCACAAATCAGCGCATGCAAACTCCCAGTTGCTGGCAGCGGGGTGTGTATCCAGACAGCCAAAGTGTAGCCTGCTGCAGCAGCAAGTTCGCGGCGCAGCAGCAGCTGCGGCTGCAGCAGCAGCAAACTCTCGCCGCGCGTGCTGCCGCCTACTGCAGCAGCAGTTAAGGGGTAGCAACCCGAAATGTACTTCAATCCGTGGACTCCTGTTGCTGCACATCTTTTCATTTCTCGGGAAGGCAAAGACAAATAATAAGCTGCTGCAGTGTACACTTGGGGTGTACATACACCTAAAACGCGCTTGTGGCGCACCAGCGGGTCCGCCACCACCAGGCTCAGGTCCAGCAGCAAATCCATCTCCAGCTGGCCCCCTGCTGCTGCTGCTGCTGGGCTTGCTGCTGCTGCTGCTGCTGCTGCTGCTATGTCCACAGCAGCACGAAACCCGTCTCCAGCCTTCTTTGTGTCTCGGCGAGAAGCTATTTCGAAATAACGAGACATAGCAGCCGACGGGTCCAGAGTAAGAGAAAAGACCTGAAAGCAGCAGCAGCAGCAGCAGCAGCAGCAGCAGCAGGAAGAGTTAGGCGAAGCCCTCGCTAGTAACAGTAAGAAGGCCGTCTAATGTATTACGATTTGAGGGTTTGAGCTGAGGGGTTAGGGTTTACGGGTGGCGCACGATGTAGTTGAAGCTGAACCCTAAACCCTAGACCCTCAGCCCTCAACCCTGATTCCAACTAGGGTTTTACACGGGTGCTTGCTGCTGCCGGCGTCCGCTAGGGTTTAGGGGGCCTGACGTGCCTCAAGCTAGGGTTTAGGGTTTACGTGAGGGTTTAGGGTTTGCCCTAAGGGTTTCCCCTGTGCTCTAGGGGTCGAAGCTGCGTAAGGTTTGAAGCCTTCGAAGGTATAGGGTTTCGTGGAGTTCAGGGTTTAGGGTTTAGTAAGGGTTGTTTAAAATTTGTCGAGGGTTTAGGGTTTGAGACTCAGGCTGTTTTGACGGCCTACGGTTCCTTGAGGGTTTAGGGTTTGTGGAGGATTAAGCATTCGCTGAGAGTTTAGGGCTTTCAAAGGTTCAGAGTTTGTGGAGGGTACAGGGTTTGT